GCTGGCTTTGAACTCACAGAGATCCACCTGCACCCGCCTTCCCAAGTGCTGGGGTTAAAGGCGTGCGCCACCAGGCCTGGCAACAGGGTAGGTTTTAACGTGGCCTTACATAACTGAAGTTTACAGACTTCCTCAGTCATGTACCTGGCCTCAAGTTTCTTTTGTTGTATAGTGGAGCAGCTGAATCTCTGTCTTAAACTGTCAGTCCGGGTTTCGATGAGCTCATCGCCAAGGTGGTCCTAAGGGAGAACTGAGCAGAGTGAGGGAGGGCCTCTTGAGGTTCCTTTATGCAAATCGGATTGTTATTTCCTCCAAGGCCTGGAGAGAGAAAGGCGTGTCATCAGGCCAAATGGCGTCCATGGGTACCAGTACCCCAGAGAGAGAGCACCCAGGGCCTGCTGTCACTGCCTCACCTTGCTTCCTGGAGGCCCTTTCCGTGAGCAGATGAAGAACAGGGGGAGGTATCAGAAGAACAGGTCTCCAGTGGGCTATACCTTTGAGGGCTTGATTTCCTGAGCCCAGTCCTTAGGGCTGCGATGTGTTATCTGCCCTGAAGTCCTGTGTATATATTATCTTCTCAGCCCTAGAGTTTCTTCTTCTCCGCCTGCTTCTTGGAAGCTCCACTTATCCCACAGGTCTGGCTCAGGCTATGCAGCAGGTGGGGCACACTGTTTGGGCAAGTCCAATGTCAACCATCCTGTAAGCTGTCCTCCATACCGGCCGTGGCATGTGCAACCCCCACCCCCAAATAAAGAAGACGTAATTTAAAAAAATCAGCAGTAGGCCCTATTCCCATTTTACTAACGAGAAGACATAACAGACTTGCCTGAGGGGGAGCACAGAGCACCACTCGCTGACGACTCGAGAAGAGGCTGTGTAGACGGCCCAAATACAGCCCGCGCCATTCTGTTTATTCTCTCGTCTGTGAAACTTCAAAGTCCTTGTCACATGGGAGCTCTGAAAAGAGGATGATTTAGAGCAGGGGCAGACATTCCCTCCATTTTCTTGGTCTGGATACTTGGCAAAGAGGACTCAAGAGTTGGACACCTCTGTCAAGGCCGGAGTCATCAAAGAGACATTCTGAGCCCTGGGCTGAAGGCTGATGTCTCACCTGAGGAAAGATGTGTGCACACTGGCCTAACCCTTCCAGGGCATTCATGGGCTCACAGGACCAACACGGCGGAGACAGACAACTAGAGCTGCTTCCCAAGTGCTGTGCTCATGAAACTCATCCTAACCGTCTTTGTGTTGGCTTCATTCACATTTAACAAGCTGCACACAGGCTCCAGAAGCAATCTTTTCACCAGTGCCTCTGAAATTGCCAGGGCTGACTCTCACTGAACTTCTTTAGCTCATCCATCCATCCCTGAACCAATAGTTGTAGTCTAGAGGAGGGATCATGTCCACCGGACCACCCAGAGTAACCATTAGAAAGACAGTGATGAAGAGAGTCCCCTGGTGGAGGCAGAAAGAAATGCAACTGGACAAAGTACTTGTCTATAGGATCTAAGATCTAGCCTCAACTCTACGACTGACCAGTGACCTCTGTAACATTGCTGATTTAGCACAGAAGAGGTTTTTATTTTTTATTTATTTATTTTTTTTGAGACAGGGTTTCTCTGTGTAGCCTTAGCTGTCCTGGACTCACTTTGTAGACCAGGCTGGCCTCAGACTCACAGAGATCCTCCTCAGTGCTGGGACTACAGGTGTGTGACACTGTGCCTGGCTTCAGACTTGAGTTTTCTGGCTTTTTTTGTCTTCCTTTCTCAGCCCACTGACCAATCCCGGCTATTTGGTGGCAAGATAGTAATCTTCAGCTCACCTGGGGATACACAGGCCCCTCTTACCAATGCTAGGCCTATTGTCCCAGTTGCCTTCTGCCCTGCCTCTCCTTCTGGTGCAGCCTTTTTCAGTCCATGCTGTTCACTGGCAACACTGTCCTTAGTTAAGCAGAGCCTTGGCTCAGAAACTACCAGCTACTCCTTCCAGACAACTGGGCGAAGTCAACTGGGCAAAAAGTGTGTCGGCTGTCTACCTGGATTTTCTCCACTGTCTTAGTTGCTTCACTCCTTGACCCAGATTGGGCACCTTCCTCTGGGCTTTGGCTCAGTTTTCTGCTGAATGAGTCATAGCTACCCAGAGACCCGTTCACAGTGGTGCTCAGCAAACGACTGTTCTGTGCATGATTTAACCTCCATGAAGGGAGACATCAGAGAAAGCAGCTCCAGTCAAGAGACATCCAGAGCCAAGCGCTGCGGTGCACGCCTGAAATACTCGGGGAGGCAGGGGCAGGGGGATTTCTGTGAGTTCAAGGCCAGCCTGGTCTACAAAGTGAGTCCAGGACAGCCAAGACTACACAGAGAAATCCTGTCTTGGGGGAGAGAGAGAGATCCAGAGCCATGGAGAAAGTGAAGCGGAACAGAAACAGAACTGGGGACTAGAGACGTGGGTAGGAGAGAGAAGGGGCAAGATTCTTGGAGCTGGAGCATGGGAGCTGTGTGGATGCAGGGACAGCAAGCAAGGCATGAGTGTTCACCAGCTGTGATAACGGTCTCTCCCCACCCCCACCCCCGGTTAAGTAAACAAGGTCCCTGTGATTTGTGTTTTGTACAGCTGAACTTTCCCTAGCAGGAGCTGCTTTGGCTGAGCAACCAATTCTGGTATAAACCCTGATGCATGATTAAAAAGGACTGGATCGGGTAGGACACGCAGATCCAAGGAGGAAATGTTCGCCTTCCCAGACCTCTTGGACAGACTTGCTAAGCTCGCCAGCTGGGACCAGGGCCAGGTTTCGGCTGGAAGGAGTGAGGTTACACAGGCAGGAAAAGGTCCACAGGGGAATGCTGAGAACAAGCCAGATGGTTCTGGTTGGGGCCTGACCACTGGTGACTGATGCCCAGTGACAGGCAAGAGGCTGCCATCCGACCGTGCCCACCCAGGCCCCTCCTATGCGTCAGAGCCTCCTGCAGTGGAGAACACAGCAACGGTGACCAGGATGGAACACAGATCTGGAGGGAGGGAGGGGCGCCTTTTTTTTTTTTGAGCCAGGCATGGTTATGTCCAACCCTAACACTTCAGAAGCTGAGACAGGAGGGTCACAAGTTTTAAACCAATTTCAGCTACATAGCAAGACCCTGCTTTAAAACAAAAGGAAAAAATTCAGGCTTGCGGCACCCTGTGATAGAAAGAGAAAGAGCAGTGCGAGGCCAGTCCTGGCTGAAGAGTGAACCCTTGTCTTAAAAAAGAACCTGAAGCAAAACAAAACGAACCCCCAAAAACAAAAGCGCTAAATCCAAAAAACAAACAAACAAACAAAAAAAAGAGAGACAAGCTCCTCCCTGGACCTGCAAGAGGCATCTGTGATGCTGGGAACTGAGGATGGCCTTGAACTCTGATCTTCCCACCCCTGGAATTACAGGATGTGCATACACACACACACACACCTACCTGTCCATATGGCTCTAAGACAGGATGCTTCAAGCTTAGGCAAACACTCCACCAACCAAGCCATGCTTCTAACCCTTTAGTTTTATTTTTATTGCATTTATTTTGTGTGCGTGAGTGAAGATATGCATGTGCCACGGTGGGTGGGTGTCGGTTAGAGGACAGCCTGTGGTGTCAGCTCAGTTCTCTCTTTCTACCATGTGGGGCCCAGGAATCAAACTCGGTTCATTAGGCTTGGTGATAAAGGCCTTTAGCCTCTAAGCCTAGTGGGTAGAGATCCCTGGGGAGGGGGGGCGGTGATCCCTGGGGGTCACCTAAGACCTTCGGAAAACACAGATGTTTACATTATGATTCGTAACAGTAGCAGAACTACAGTTATGGAGTAGCAGCAAAACCAATTTTATGGTTGGGGTCACCACAACATTAAGAACTGTACTGAAGTGTTAGGAAGGCTGAAAGCCACCGCTCTGGACCATCTTTACCAGCCCCCCAGTGGAATACCTTTACTTATTTATGTACATATTTTTGGATCTATGTATATGAATGTGCACCACAGCAAGCCTGGTTCTTGAAGAGGTCAGAAGAGGGTGCTGGATCCCCTAGAACCGGAGTCACAGATGGCTGGGAGCTGCCATGTGGATGCATGGAACAGAACCTGGGTCCTGTGCAAAGGTCAGCAAGTGCTGCTAACTGCTGAGGTATGGCTTCAGCTCTTTCTAAAGGTACAGTCCAAGCTGGCTCAAACCTTTGATCCTCATCCTTGGCAGTATTTTGATGACCAGAATTGCTACCCTAACAGACTCTTTTTCCCCCCCCTCATTTGGTGTCATGTATTACAGGCTGACCTGGAACTTGCTATACAGCTAGGGAAAAGCTTGAGCTTCTAATTCTCCAGTCCACCTTCCTAATACTGAGATCGCAGGCACGCATCAGCATTCCGTTTGATGTGGTGCTGAGAACTGAACCCAGGGCCTCGAGTACACTGGGCAAGGGCTCTTGTTTTGAGACAGGGTCTTGATATGTAGCCCAGGCAAGCTTGCTGTTTGCTAAGGAGTCCAGGCCTGGGGCTCTGAGTAATCCTCAGCCTGCCAAGTGCTGTGATTACAGGCCTGCACCACAGCTCCTGGCTCCCAGGCAGAGCTTTTAGACTACAGCTCTACCTGGCTGGCTGCAAAAGCTGGACAAGGTACAACCTTGCTGTTTACTCTTGTGCACAAGGTGGCTGGCAACACCCACCCACAAACAGGAGTGTCTGGTGGCTGCCTGGCACCCACCTGGTGCTTAATAATGGCAGCTATCGTAACTCTGGCCAGCAGTGGTCTCCTACAAGGAACTGTTTGTTGTTGTTTTGTTTCTTTGGTTTTTCGAGACAGGGTTATTCTGTGTAGCCTTGGCTGTTCTGGACTCACTTTGTAGACCAGGCTGGCCTCGAACTCACAGAGATCCACCTGCCTCTGCCTCCCTGAGTGCTGGGATTAAAGGTGCGTGTTACTGAGCCTTTACAAGGAACTTAATAGGTTTGTACAAAGAAGGTTGAGCAGCCAGGGAGGCAGATCTTCATTATCCACCTGATTTTATTCTTTATTACAATGGGCTAAGCCACCAAACTCATGATCTGAACTTTTTTTATTTTCTGAAATGAAACCATTGTACAAACAATATCTACTGATGGAATAAATAAGTGAAAAATTATACTGCTGTACAACACACCAAAAAAAAAAATTGTAAGAGGAAAAAAAAAATTAGGTAACAGTGAAAAAAAGGTCTTTATACCTCTAACCAGGTCCTCGGCAATACTTAACATTCCAAACCATGACACGGTCTGATGACAGGCAGTCCCCACCCTCTAAGAATCGGTCTATACAGCCTTCCGGGATGTGGGTGTAAGTGCCCGCACTTTGTGGAATGTGTAGCCGCCATTCCCCCAGCTTCAAGTTCTGGGGGAACTTTGCCCTGGGAGCCCTTTAGGCCATGGGGCCTGATGTCCACGGAAGGCATTTGCTTAGGATCCCCTGCCCCTGGCTCGGCCAGATGAAAGGTCTTAGATTTAGTGGTGGGGATGAGGGTGAGGGGTTCAGGGGTGGGACCACCGGGCTCCAGAGAGAGGACCGTGGCAGGGAAGGAAGCACATTGGATTTTGCAGTCTGACCGCTCCGCATGGAAGGCTTTCCTGGCCAGCGTGGAGTGCAGGGCTGCTGGCTCTTTGCCTGGCGTGGCCGTTGGGGAGCGTCCGAATGGTCTTCATCAACGGCCCATTCCTACCTTCAGGCACTTCAGAGAAAAACTAATGACAGCCTTGGTACCGTGGACCTCACTGTTGTCTCCATCCTTGACTGTGTCAGCTCCTCCTGACTGTCCGAGGAGGCTGCAGTGGCCAGAAGAGGTGCAGGCGGCCTGGCCGCCCTGCCGGCTCTGTGGATGAAGGTGTTGGGTTCTCCCTCAGCTGTTTACGTGGTAACCTCTCGTTTCCCAGAAAAAGAGATAAATATCCAAATTCATCTTTCACCGACATGGAGCTTTGCTGCAAAAGAAAAATGTTGCCCTAACTCTAGAATCTGGAGGTAAAGCCGCCTTGACCTTGAGATAGGTTGGAGGTCATACATCTAGCTGCTTTCCAGCAAAGATGCAGAACACAGTTCCTTACAGAACTGACTGCCTGAGGGGCAAAATCGCTAAGTACAAAAAAAAAATAAAATTTTAAAGACAGAAACATTTTAGCATTGCTAACTTCAACATTAAGATTTTCAAAGTTTTTTTTTTTCTTCCCTTATTTCAGGAGATATTTTTTGCATGAGGTATTTAAAATTCAGGAACATTTTGATTCTTCTTGAAGTACAGGAAATAGACAGCTCCCTTGAAAGCAAAAGAAGAAAGAGGAGCTGTCCCCTCATAAACTCTTAGAAAATGGAGCCTGGCAGACACTTCTCATGGTGTTCAGGAGAAAGATCCACACGTCAAAAGGAGGTACCTGAATATGCACCAGTTAGCAAACAAAACAAAACAAAAACAAAAAACACCCCGCCCCCCCCAACAAACAACTCATAGGGAGTTAGAACTCCAGTGCAGTAAGAAAGCGTAGGGGAAGCTTTAAGGTCTGAGGGGTCCTGTAGAGGAGGAATTAAGAGCAAACCAGGCCTCAGAACTCAACAGTTGGGCAGTCCGTCCGAGGGGGCGGGGTCTCCACCGAGTGACAGAAAGCTGTCTCCGTGCAAGAGCAGGGGAAGGGGGAGCCTTGGTGGCTCCTCTCTGGGGGGTGTGCAAATCTTCCCAGTTCCTTCGGTGCCTTGTTTCTGGCCTTTGAGGCCCAATCATTCGGGTCTGCTCCCCAGTGGAGACCGACAGCACGTGCTGGGAATGAGGCTCCATCCACCTGTTGCCTCTGAGAGTCAGGACATGATGCCAGAAGCATCTCGCCTGGGATTTTTTTTGGGGGTGAGGGGGGGCAGGGACAAAGGGCAGCAGGTTTCCATGGATTTGAAATCCAAGCTATGTCCCAATGGAGAGTTCAGCACCAGCTATCCCCACTGCCTGCTCCTAACCTCCGCAGCCCTGTACTACCCTCAGGAGACTAGCTCGCAGTCAGTCGTTTTGTCTTCGGAGGGCCTGGAGGGAGCAGTGCCAGTGGTGGCTATCGTAGGGGCAGAGAGGGCAGAAGTGCCAGAAGAAGCTAAAGGCTTTGCATGTCGATCTGGGCTTCTGTGGCTTGCCAACCCCTAGCCTCCACGGCCCCAGGAGGTGAGGGCATGCCCTGAACCAAGGAGGCTAGCCCTTGGGAAATGGGGTTGACATGTGCAGCCCAAGGGGCCCTGGAAGTTGGGGCTCAGGGTGTGCCCAAACACTGCCCACTTGAACCAGGGGCCACTGGAAGGTGCCTAATCTCCTGCCTGCTGTGCCCTGCCAGCTCTGAAGCAGTCTTGAGGCAGGAAGCGGGCAGCAGCCAACCAAAACAAGTGAGCGGTTTGCCATGAGAGATGCAGAAAACCAGGATGCATGCCAGAGGTCACCTCTAGGGTACAAGGCACAAAAAAAGAAAGCGGAAGGAATTGGTTGAAGAGTCAAAAGCCCCTATGAAAAGCAAATTCCTGATTGGCACCACCCTCAAATAGCTTATATCATTAAATAGAGAAGTGGGGCAGGAGGGGGTGGGAGTGGGGGTGGGGGGATACAGCAGCAACACAAATGTAATCTTGGCTTCCGAGACAGTGTGCAGACACTCCTGAGCTGTCCACCCACCTCCCCAAGGACAGTCACTTGAAGGTTCGAGTTTTTCGCTTCACAGCAGACAGAGATCGTCAGTGTCTGAGAAGTTCCGCCGCTCTAGGTTTTTTTCTTGTTTGTTTGTTTTTGTTTTTTTTTCTTGGATTTGCACTTAGTAAACTTGAAACGTTAGTTCTGTTCGCACCCAAGAGGAACCGCTTGGGCAACGGTCTAGAATTAAGCCTGCTGATGTACCTGCCATGACACATGGACCAAAGAGTTCCACTGGCCATCTACATCTCTTCAGAGTTCTGTTGCAAGGCTTCCAGCTTCATCTTTTTAGAGGGCGGTGCTCCTTCCAAGTCCTTTTAGGGGGAGAGAAGAGAAGTGAGTGGGGCAGTATAAGCAGGGAGGGCAGCCAGGACAGAGGTGGGCCAGTGGGTTTGCTTCCGAGGAGAGAGAGAGAGAGAGAGAGAGAGAGAGAACTGAATTATGTGGGGGAGGAAGGGGGCTCCAGACACACAGAGAACTCCCAACGCTTCGGAGAGCATCCCAACCCCACCGGGCCTAACACCACTGTCACTCTGAACCATCACACACGCCATTCCCTGTGGGTTTTGAGCTTTGTTGCCTTTGACTGCAAACAGCCTGGACCAAGCTTCCCTTGTGACTAGTCTCCTGTCTGTGATGCATTGTAGAGGAACGTACCAAGCATAAGGTTTGGTTCTGCAACCCTACCTCTACCCCTAAGACGGTTTCCCAAAAACCCAGAGCTATTCTGCTGCATGGATTATTGTCCCCTAGGTTACATGTAGGCACCTGGCTTGGGGCAGATGCTCAGCATTTGTTGAATGGACATGTAGACATTGTTCTGAGGAAAGTGGTCTGTTATTGTCACCAAATCCCCAAGAAGTCTTTTCTTTTGTTACAGCCTCCTCCTTCCATCTGCCACAACCCTCCGTTACCTACTGTAGCTGTTAGAGTCTGTCTCTCTGAGCTGCCTCTATACAAGTGTCATTCAACATCACTTGAGCCTACTCCGTAAGCTGTAGACCACTGGTGGGAACAAGGCTTCCAACACTTGCTTCACTGACTTTAAAACACAAGGCCTACCTCTCACCAAGGCTGGGAAGGCTGGGTGACTCCCTCCCTCCACCATCCTATTATGTTTGAGACAGCTTTCTCTCCAGGCCTAGTGCCCTTTTTCTTTTGTTTTCGTTTTTCAAGACAGGGTTTCTCTGTGTAGCACTGGTTGTCCTGGACTTACTTTGTAGACCATGCTGGCCTCGAACTCACAAAGATCTGCCTCCTGAATGCTGGGATTAAAGGGGTGCACCACCACTGCCCAGGTTCCTAGTGCCCTTCTTGCACCTAGGTTGGCACCTCTTCATCATAGTTAGCATAACACCCACTAAAGAGCTGGTCCTATTCCAGGCGGAAGGGACATAGGCCAGGCTTGGCAGAGAAGTATACAATCTCAGTAAGTCTCCTAGGGTGGCTTTGAACTTGTGATCTCCTCTCTCAAGTTCCCAAGCAGCTGGGATTGATTACTGGTGTGCACCGCCAGTTGTCTGGGGCTGGGTTTGAACCTCAGGCTAGACTCCATCATATGTGCCTCCTGCCCCTGGGCCTTGGGTTTGCATCGAACAATCCAGGAATGGTGTCGACACTTAGGTACAACACAGAAGGGGTCTGAGCAGGGGCTGGATCACATGTAAAGTTCCAAAGAATAATTTGACCTTTAGGTTTCTGAGGTTGTATCTTCCTTAAAGGATGTGGGGTCACTGGGATGAAGGGATGCTTTCATGGGACCCAAATAAATACCATCAACAAGCTGAGACTAGAATGACAGACACCCAGAGGCTTCTTGAAGCAGAACCACATGGCCCTCACATCACTGTGGCCCCAGGTGACACAGGGTTATACTTTCAGCTGCTGCTCAAGGGAGGAACAGCATTCCAGCGTGCTACCCCAGAGAAGCCCAGCCCCACCCCACTGAGGCTTGGCTGCAGGTACCTGAGAGGCTGCTGAAGGTTCGGCTGCCAAGCCCGACTCCACAGATGGCTGCCGTTCCACTTTTTCTGAGCTGTTCACTGAGTTTTCCATCGAAGACTGTGAATTCTGCTCGTCAGAAGCATCTGAGCAAAAAGTAAGACAACAGACGCTGTTTTCAGACACAAGAGAAGTAGCAGTAGATGTACCAAGTACTAAAAATACCAGGATCTGGGTAGTCTTGTGGCTCAGGGCTTCTGGAGCTAAAGGGGCTTAAGCTTAGGAAGTTTCTTGGTTATAAGCTGGCAAGGCAATCCACAAGTGGGCTCTATGGGTCTCCCACCCTCTTCCTCTCTCTTGTCAGTGTCTGGTGCCCTCTGCTGGGCAACAGGCACTACAGCAATCATGGCTGTCTCCTTGCTCCAACAGGGAAGCCATAGCCATGGAGACTTCACCAGGCTTTTGTAGAGAGCTAGCATTCTCCTAATGTCAGAGGGAGCTGAAAACAAAGCACTTCCACAAGTTTTCTATTTTTATTTTACGTGGATGGGTGTTGTGCCTGAGTCTATGTCTGTGTGCCACATGTGTGCCTACTGCCTGCGGAGGCCAGGGCTTCTTGAGAACGACGGATCCCCTGCAACTGGAGTTACAGATGGTTCTGAGTCACCAAGCACTTGCTGGGAACTGAACCCGATCCTCTGCAAGAGCAGCAAATGCTCTTAACTGTTGAGAAATCTCTCCAGCCTCAAATCTTAAAAAATAATAAGAAGAAAGAAAGAAAGAAAACAAAAAACTCATGTTTGTTTATTCAGTGTACGTGCCTGCATGCCCTAGTGCATATATGGAGGTCATATATGGAGGACAGCGTGGTGAGTTCTCTCCTACCATGTGTGTTCTGGCGATTGAACTCAAGCTGTCAGGCTTGGTGACAAGCAGCTTGACCCGTTGAGTTATCTTGCTGGCTGTCACCCTTTGCCTTTGAGACAGGTCTCAAAGATGCTAGGCCAGCCTCAGACACTATGGGTAGCTGACAATAACCTTCAACTTTGGGTCCTATGGACTCTACCTCCTGAGTGCTGGGGTCCACACGTCACTACCACAGTCAGTTTATCTGGTGCTGAAAACCAAACCCAGGGCTTTGGGCATACCTGGCCCAGTGAGAACTCTGCCAGCTGAACTGTCCCTAGCCCAACATTTCTCTTAATAATAAGGATGAATCTGGTGACCCAAGCAATGGTCAACGCTGAGGGGAAAAAAAAAAAAAAAAAAAAAAGCATAGTTAAACCCAACTGAAAGCTAAGATACACGTACCAGTATTTTAAGGTGCTTGGCCCCACCTTTCTAGAGTGTTCCCTCATATACATATGATTTTTTTTTTTTTTAATCTCTCTAGATGGCAGTGGAACAGATAATTTGCACATCTTTACAAATTCTCTACACACACGAGTCTGGGAAGTAATCATTTATCTGATGATACTAATCAGCTGGGCTATTTGCCAAGCCTCTGCCTCCCTCTCACCCTACATCAAATTTTTTTTTTTTTTTTTTTTTTTTTTTTTTTTTTTGGCTGAAGGAAGGTGTACGTTGGGAGAGGTGATGTGAGCTTGGAAGAGGATCACTGAAGTTTACCTAGAGATTCTGGGACTCATGGAAGGAGACACTACAAAATCCATTTGGGCCTGGGCTGCTCACACATGGCCCCCATGACAGGCCACCCTGACTTTATTTAAATTTTATTTTTAATCATTGGAGAAGGGTATGTGCACCTCAGTGAGGGAGTCCACAGAGGCTACCGGTGTCAGATTCCCGGGAACTAGAGTTCAAAGTGGTACTAAGCGGCCCAACACAGGTGCTGGGAATCTAACTCAGCCACTCTTAACTGCTGAACCATCTCTCCAGGCCTCACCCTGGTTTAAAAAAAAAAAAAAAAAGAAAGCTTTATAGTAATGTTGGAAAAAAGCCCAAGCAACCACAGCTTACTTTCTGAGGCAGAGGACTAGTAAAGAACAAAACCCAGGCATGAACTGAAAACCATGTGAGTACTGTGGCACACAGCCAGTGGCTGTCCAGCGCCTGTGGCAGGTGGGGGTGCAGACAGTGACAGGGCAGGACCAGTACCAGGGCCAGCACCCTGCCACTACCCACACCAACAGCCTGCCTTCACGTGGCTGGTCACGTGGCACTGGGCTTTCTAATGGCCACGAGGTGGTGCTCCACATACAACCTGGGGCGCAGAAGGAATCAGTCTGGAGACAGATTTAAGTTCAAACACTGGGACCCGGTACTTTCTAAGATCTCTGCCACCCCTATAAACACAAGGTTGACAAAGCCACGCTGTCCAGTGACTTTGAGGATTACGTGGAATGGCATGGACAGATCCCAAACTGGCCAGTCATGGAGGTACACGGTTATAAACCTAGCATTTGCAAGGCTGGGGCAGGGGGATCAAAAGTTCAAGGCCAGTCTAGGCTGCATAGTGACAACCTGTCTCAAAAGCAAACCCCTCAAACACAAATTAACCCTTGATGGGAGTCACTGATGGATTATCTAGGACACAGACTTGAACTTTCTCAGTTTAGCCTTGAAAATGCATGTTAATGGGACCTGAAGAGGTGGCTCTGAAGAACACTGGCTGTTCTTCCAAAGGTCCTGAGTTTAATTTCCTGTACAGTAACCACATGGTGGCTTACAACCATCTGTAATAAGATCTGGTGCCCTCTTCTGGTATGCAGGCATATATGCAGGCAGAATATTGTATAAATAATAAATAAATCTTTTTAAAATCCATGTTAATGGTAATTTCTCAAAGACTTAAACATGACCTCTATTTTAAAAAAAGATTTATTTATGTATTTTATGTATGAGTACTCTATCTGTATGTATACTTGCATGACAGAAGGAGGCATCAGACCCCAGTATAGATGGTTGTGAGTCACCATGTGGTTGTCAGGAATTGAACTCAGGATCTCTTGAAGAGCAGACAGTGCTCTGAACGACTGAGCAATCTCTCCAGGCCCTACATTTTTTTTTCCCCTAAGACAGGGTCTCTGTGTGTAGCCCAGCAGGCCTGAGACTGACTCTGTAGACCAGGCTGGCTTTGAATTCAGAGGTCTGCCTGCCTCTGCCTCCCCAGTGCATGCACCACCACACTTGGCCTAACCCAGATATTTTGCTTTCAAAAGGACTGAAAACCAGGGACTCAAAGAGTCTTGAATATGAACGCCACAGCGGCACCCTTCACAAAGGTCATGGAGGTAGAGACAGGAGACTGGCTCAGAGGCTCAACGGCCGGCTCGCCTGGATTCCACAACTCAGCACCAGAAACAACAGAGACCCCCTCGCCAGAGTGGCACACAGGGCACACATTGTTCTTCATGTGAAATGTCCACAACAGGTCAAAACCCAAGCACGCATGCACTGCACTGCATAAGGAAAGCTGAAGTAAGGCACGGAGAGGGATTATGCAGTTTCTCTGTGGCCTGAGGAAGATGTGCTAGAACTAGACAGAGGTGATAGAACATTCTAGATGCCAGTGAACTGTTTTTCACCTAGAAATGGTTCATTCTAAGTGAACCAATCTTTTTTTCTTTGGGGTCCTGGGTTGAGCCCAGGTTTTCTCACAGACTAAGCATGGTACCTGCAGCTGAGCTTTACCACTCTGAAAATGGTTTGTTTCATGTGACTTTCTGTTTTGCTTGTTTGTCTCTTTTTGGAGATGGGTTTTTACAATGAAGCTATGAAGCCATGAAGCCCCAGCTCGCCTCAGATCCGTGATCTTCCTGCGTTAGCTTCTTGGGTACTGGGATTATAGGTGGGCAACAACAGGCCTGGGGCCTGGATTTCATGTTACTAGAAAGGAGAAGCTGGGGCCAGGGAAATGGCTCAGAAGACCTGGGCTGGATTCCCAGCACCCATGCTGTGGCCGGAAATCATCAGTAATGTCAGTTCCAGGGGGTCCAACACTCCTTTCTGACTTCTGGGAGCACCAGCCATAACCATGTGTACACACACACCTAGAGGCAAAACACTCACACACAAAAGTGTTCTTAAACAGGAAAAGCTAGAGGGCCAGGCACGGTGGCACTCAGGCTCTCCATGAGTTCTAGGCCAGCAGCACTACATAGTAAGGCCTTGCCTAAAAAAAAGCAGGTGGGCGTGGGGGATAGAGGTCAGAAGTTCAAGACTAGCCCTTGCTGCTACACGATACTCTGCTTAGAAAGAAAGGGAAAAAAAAAAAAAAGAGGAAGAAAAAAAATCCACATTAATTTTGTATTCTACTTCATAATCTGTTAGCTTTAACAAAACACATTTTGACTGACCTAAAAAGTCTGCCTTATCGGTGTCTTTGCCTCTGTGACCACAGTTTGTTTTCTGCATGCACTGAGCTCTGCAGATGGAGGGGGAGGAGGGCTTGCTGCTCCCAAGGCAGCCAGTCACCAGAGATTTAGAGATCCATGCTGCCCGCTTGCTGGCAGAGGCATGCCCAGGCTCGAGGCTTCCTTGAGAGCCAGGCCTGCGGGCTCAGAGGGAGCCAGCGGTGCAGCTCGCAGCGTGCCAGGGCTCAGGACAGCAGGCTGTTCTCTGAGCGTCCTGGAGCTTCTGGAACTCACCCAGGGGAAATTATTTTCCCGGGGCCTAAATTTAGTCCAGGGAGCTTGGACATTATGTCATTCCCTGAGCTCACACGGCAGTAAACAAGTTCAAAGCAAGGTCAGCAGCTGGTGGCCGACCCACCCCGTCCCAGTTTGCCCACCTGTAGGGAGGACACGTGGGTCCTGTGCTGTGCCCTCTCATGGGGAGCTGGGGCAGGTGGGTACAAGCCCAGAGGTCTGAGATGACTGGGAGACTCTGGCACGATTCCCATCTGGGCTATACAGCTTCTGAAGCAGCGGGGTGTGGGGGAGAGAAGATGGCCGCTACAGGGCTTCACCACAATTAACTCTTACAGCTAAGCCGAAACTGGCCTGTTAGGGGAAGGAGGACCCAGATGTGAAATATGTGGGAAATAGGGCCATCGCCGGATGGCAGGTTAGGAAAGGAACTGAGGCGGATCCAGACATGACCACAGCTGCCCCGGTAACCTCAGAACAACTCCTCCAACAGAGGGGGAACGAGGGGGCTCTCCACAGCTCTCCAGCTCCTTCCTCCACCCTAGAATTCTGCCGAGCGCTTTGCAGATATCTCCACTTCCTTCATTCCTTGCTACAACCTGACAAAGGAAACCACTTTTATCTGTCCCATTTTAAAAACAAGAAAGCTGGTGGGTGCAGGGGAGTCGATGCTGCCAGTCTAAGGCCATTAGCAGAGAACCGCAGGTTAGCTGTGGCCATGGCCCAGCCCAGCCCCTCCACCTCTGCCTAAAGCATCTAACCAGCAAGATGCTGGGAAGCCTAGTGGGCATGCCCTGACTGGAAGGGCCCCCCCAAGGTGAGACGAGAGGTCGTGCCCACAGATGTAAATGGCAGAGGGCTTTAGCAAAGCCACCAGGAAAATGACAAGGAAATTTCCTTTTGTATTGTGTGTGCCATACTAGGGGGCAGGGAGCTACTAGTAGAAATCAGGGAGCTCTGTAGCATCCTGAACATACGGAACAGACCCACAGCAAAGAATTCCTCAGTCTCCAAAACCAACAGTGCTGAGCTCAGAACCCTTGCTCCAGCAGAGCCGTATTATCCGTGATCTCCTTGGAGGGAACTCCAGCAGGACCGACACATTTGTGTGTGTGTGTGTGTGTGTGTACGTGTGTAAGGTGTGGGATTCAAGACCTCATGCATGGTAGGCAAGCTACGCTGTTGCTTCCTGGGGTGGACGAATGCAACCACAGGAGACCTGGGGTGGAAGACTCACTTCCTTCTACATCCTAACATCTAAACCACTGCCTGTACGCTGGAGGTTTGGGTTTTTGTTTTGTTTTTTTGAGACAGGGTTTCTCTGTGTAGCCCTGGCTGTCCTGGAACTCTCTCTGTAGACCAGGCTGGCCTCTAACTCACAGAGATCTGCCTACCTCTGTCTCACAAGTGCTGGGATTAAAGATGTGTGCATCCACCACTTGGCACTGCTGGTGAGTTTTTATGTCAACTCGACACAAGCTAGAGTTATCTGGGAAGAAGGAAACTTAATTGAGAAGATGCCCCCATTAGAATGGCCTGTGGACACGCTGTAGGGCATTTCCTGAATTGGTAGGAGGCCCAGCAGAGGGCAGCGCCACCTCTGCTCAGGTGGTTCTGGGTGCTGTAAGAAAGCGGGCTGAGCTTGCTGAAGAGCAAGCTGGTAAGCAGCACCCCTCCATGGCTTCCGCTGCAGTTCCTCCCTCCCGGTTCCTGCCCTCACTTCCTTTGACGACAGACTGTGGTACAGAACTGAGACTCTTTCCTCCCGCTGTTTTTGGTCATGGTGTTTCATCACAATAAAAACCTAGCTGAGGCCCTCTGTCTACTGACCCACACATCCACTTCTTCCCTACCCAAGGGCCAACTTCGCACACAGGCCTCTTGCTCTCAGGACTCCTCCAGCAGAAGCCTGGTCTGCATATTCCCCAGCCCACCCTCCTGGCCAGGTGGGCCTTCTAAATTCCAGCTTCCAGCCTCTGCTCCGCACTCTCTCATGGGCTCCCTCACACACGGCTCTGTGGCCAGTCAGTCACTCCAACGTTCTGCACTCTGCTCCTGTCACATCACTTTGGGAACTTAGTCCCTTTGACCGGACTAGCTGCCCTTCTGTAACATCAATTCATCCTTTAAGTCTGGGTCAGATGGCATAACTGCCAAGAAGGCTTCCCAACCCTCCAGGCTCTCTTTACCATGACCATGACCTCAAAAGTTCCCTGGCCTAGGCAACAACATGGATGAGTCAAGTGGAAAACAATGTGGGAAAAAAAAAAAAAATCTCTTCTTCAAAGAAATAAGCGCTTCTCCAGTTAACCTTGAACTCAGTATGTGACCAATGGTGATTCTGAACTTCTTTCTGGCCCTCCTACTGCCATCTTTCAAGTGGTAGGGTTACAGGTAGATACCACCAGCACACCCAGTTAAAAGGTACTGGGGATAGAATCCATGGCTTCTTGCATGTTAGGCAAGCACTCTCCCAACTGAACTATATCCCCAGTGTCCCACCTCCTGTGTGTGTGTGTGTGTGTGTGTGTGTGTGTGTGTGTGTGTGTGAGAGAGAGAGAGAGAGAGAGAGAGAGACAGATATTTGCATAACTGGCAAGAGTTCTAAAATTGAAATACATCTTTAGCCTTTTATCTTTTTTTTTTTTAGATTTTATATGTATAAGCATTTTCACTAGATGTAAGTGTACCATATACATACTGTGCCCTTGGAGGCCAAAAGAGGGCACTGGATTGTATCCCCTGGAACTGGAGCTACAGGCAGTTGTGAGCTACCTAATGTGGGATTCAAACTTGGGTCCTTCGTAAGAGCAACCAATGCTCTTCACTGCTGAACCAGCTCTCCAAGTTTCTTTGTTTTGTTCTACAGCTCAGAATTCTGTAGCCCAGGCTGGCCTCGAACTGGCCACCTCGTGCCCTCCTCCATTGGACTGGGAGTACAGCTCTCTGCCACCACACCCTTCTATCAGTCCTTGTGGCACCTCTTCTGCTCCTGCACTGGCCTAGCCACCACACTCTCCAACAGACAACGCTTCAGACTCATGACGGTGTTGCCGCCTCCACTCTAAGCATTACATCATCGTTTCTCAACTCTTCAGGTGATGTCAGCCCCTGACTGTCTCACTGCCCACAGGAGGCCAGGGGCTATGGCCTTGTAAGACCACCACATTTGAAGCAGAGCACCCTCTCTGACTCTAGCTTTCTTTCCCAGTCTATTATTTCGCTTGCTTGCCACGCTGACTTTGCCTCTGCCTCAGGACCTCCTGCTCATCTACAGACAATGTTCTCCTAGACAGCCCGCCGGCCCTTCTGGCTTGTTTACTTGCCTAACTCCACCTTCACATGCTTTACGTCACCACAAGGAAACCTCTCTTAATCACCTTCATAATTCAATAACACTTTTATTCCCTTTCCTAATTCTAGTGATTTTTTGTTGTTGTTTTGTTTTTTTAGTTTTTCAAGACAGGGTTTCTCTGTGTAGTCCTGACTGTCCTCGAACTCAGAGATTTGCCTGACTCTGCCTCTGAAGTGCTAGGATTAAAGGTGTGCACTGACTTTTTTTTTTCCTGAGCTACCACGATGGGCTGATTTTTTTTTCATGCACTACCAGATCCATCTGTTTTGTTGTTGTTGTTTAATATGATCTCATGCAAACCCAGGTTGGCCCCGAACTCCTGATCCTCCTGCCTCTACCCTCCCAAGTGCTAGAACCACAGGCATGTGCCATATTCTCAGATTATGGGGTCCTGGGATTGAACCCGGCCCAATTGTCTGATCTCTCTCTCTCTAATGGCTCTAAACCAGGCCGCACTTTTCTTCTACAGTCCTACAGTCATGGTCTGGCTTGGCACATGGCAAAGCTCTCTTGAAACACCTGTGGCTTGTCTGGCTGTGAAGCGGCGCCTCAGTGCTGTCTCTCAGAATAAGTACCTTCAGCTCCAGCTTGCTCTTTTCCATCGGCCTGTGCCTCGTCAGCCTTGGCTTCGGTGCCATCACTGGGCACAGGTGCGTTGGGCTCTGGAGCAGGGCTGGAGTTGCTGCTGTTCTCCTGTTTGATGGGAGAGGCGTCTGCTATGGAGCTCTGGTTGCTGTTATCATCTGCACAGGAAGAGAGCACAGGTTGACATCTCGTAAGTGCTGAGAGTGTGTTTGTTTGCCGTCTGTGTGGCGGGAGGGGGTAGCTTTCCTATGCCTCAATGCCTTTGGTCTCATAGCCTGTGAAACAAGGGATTCTCAGAGCTAGTCTGATTACCTCTTCTTAACACCTCTCCCACAATGCCTGGCCCCCCTCCCCCCAGGGCAGAAATGGCAGCAGAAAGACTGGTAGGAGTTAGAACTGAGAAGGATCAGAGCAAAAACAATGACGGACAGCTGCTCAGCTCATTGGCTGCTTAAGGATCAAGCCAGTCAACACTTCAGCATTCAAGGAGGAGGGGCTATTGACTCTTGGGAAAGAGTTCGGCTTCTTTAAGGGTTCGGCCTTTGGTAGGCTGACCATGCTCAATGGACTGGGCCAAACCCAGTATATGAGAGCATATGAGCAGCGCAAATTGGATTCAGTGGGTTATCAACAAAAAAAAAAAAAAAAGAAAAGAAAAAAAAAGGATACATAGGACTAGAGGTCTGGCTCAGCAATTTAGAACACTTGTTGCTCTTCCAGAAAATGCAGGTTTGGCTCCCAGCACCCACATGGAGGCTTACAAACATTTGAAACTCCTGTCCCAGGAGCTCTGACCCTCTCCTGGCCTCCATATATGTGGCAAACAAACATGAAATAAAAATAAGTAAATCTTTTTTGTAGACATGGTTTCACTATGCAGCCCTACTGTTCTGGAACTTGCTATGTAGAGCAGGCTGGCCTCAAACTGCCTCTGCCTCCCCCCAAATGCTGGGCTTAAAGGTGTGTTCCACCATGCCCAGATCAAAAACAAACAAACCTTTGGGCTCCTATGAGACCCAATTCTGGGTGGAGAAAAGCGGGTGTTTTGTGCTTCTGGTCATGAAGTACTATCGCTACAACACTCCACCTCATTTCCATAAGCCGCAGACTGGCTTCCTATTGGTCCACAATAAAAGGGAGAGCCACACTTTTAATCCCAGCACCGGGTAGGCAAAGGCAGGCTCTGTGAGTTCCAGGCCGGCCAGGGCTAGAGAGAACCTGTCTATAAATGAATGAATGAATGAATGAAACAAACAAGGTAGGAAGAACACCAGAAATCATTCTGTAAGAGTAACTGATTTGTTACTTATGTGTGTGCCTGCATGTACGATGTGAACCATGTATACACACATGGGAGACGGGAAGGCTCCCTGAAACTGGAGCTTACAGGTGATTGTGTGGACACCCAAGGGGAAGTGTACCCTGGGACCCAGGGTTGTCTCCAACTTAACCATCAGTGCCATTGCCTCTCGCCTCTTTATCTGTCTCAATGTGGAGACTGATGTCACCCTTTGGCTCTGTATGCTGAAACGGGCAGGTGCAGATTAAGCAAAGATAGGTGGAGAACTGTACATTTAGCTCAAGCTGCAGGTAGGTGACGGGGCGCCTTCGATCATAAACAGCCCCAGTCCTCTACAAGAGATGCTTTTAGCCACTGATCTCTCCAACCCTGGGAATCAGTGCTTGTAAGATTTACTTTAGTTAGCTGGTAGGTTTGTGTGTACGTGAGTGGAGGTGCCCGCTGGAGGCTTTGGACCCCCAGCAGCTGGAGTTACACTTGACATGTGTGCTGGGAACTGACCTTGGGTCTTCTGGAAGAACATCGAGTTCCTAACAAGAGCCATCACCCTAGCCCCACCCTCACCCCACCAATAACTTTAGATTTTATTGCTTTTGATCAGACTCAGTGGCGATGCCTTTAGTCCTGACACTCAAAAGACAGAAGGTAGATGGATCTCTTGTGAGGACCAGGCCAGCCAAGGCTGCCTGACTAGTGAGAACCTGTCTCAAAAACAAACAAACAGGAAGTGTTTATGTACTTATTTATTTTGGGGTGTATACATTTTGTGTGCAAGGGAACACACCTGCGTGGAGGCCAGAGACCAGCCTGTCATTTACGAATTTTCCAGGAATCCAACCTTGGGTCTTCAGGCCTTACCCGAAAGTGCCTTTACCCACTGAGCCATTTGTCTGCCCAGAAGTCAGTTTTAAAGAGGACTGGGATGTGGCTCGTGGAAGAACATGACCATGGGGGTCCATCCCCATCATGACAAAATAATAAAGGAAGAAATAGAAAACATTATTATAGACTAAGAAATGTAAGGGCTCCAACCAGTGAATATGATGAGTGGGAATTATTTCGATCTAATTTGGAAAGTGCCAGCTATAACACATTTTGGAATAATTGGAGAATTTGTATATGGTCTGGATTTTTTTTTTTTTTTTTTTTTTTTAGCTAGGGTTCTTCTGTGTAGCCCTGGCTGTCCTGGACTGACTTTGACCAGGCTGGCCTCAGACTCACAGAGATCGGCCTGCTTTTGCCTTCCCAAGTGCTGGGATTACAGGTGTGTGCCACCACGCCTGGCCATGGTCTGGATTCTTAAAGTTATTAAGGAATCATTGTTAATTTTGTTAGGAGAGATAATGGCACAGCAGGTCTGGGGAAAGGTCACCCTTTGGCGGCAGTGTATGCTGAAATGGGTAGGTACAGATTAAGCAAAGACAGGCGGGGAAATGTACTTTAGCTCAGCTTTGGACAAGTGATGGGGCGCCATCAGCTTCACACCTAAGAGATGTGTGTTTTTTATGCAAATGAGATGTCAATCTCAAATGGTATGTTAAAAACCACGTGGCAAACATGGCCTATTGTTGACAATATCTGAAGCGGGAGTTGATGGGGCTGGTCACGCTGTGCATGAAGAAGTAAGAGGTCATGGGGCAGGAGCACTAACAGTTAAGGTGAAGGCAGCTCTGGGCGCAGGGTACACCTCCCCTTGTCTTGAGCCCTCTTCCTCGGTACAGTCATTTTATTTTATTTTTGTAGAGGAAAGCATGAACACAGTCCCCAGCTACCACAAATCACAGCTGAGTTTCCCACATCTGGGAGAATCACAGGCGTGATACGTGAATCGGCACATCCGTCATGCAATTGGAAACCACCTTCTGATCATGGTTTCTGTTCTGCCGGGTAAGTAGGACACAGTCATTTTAGACCAAAGTCACCCAAGCGGTGTGATCTTACAGAAATGGCACCGCGGCTCATGCTCACAATCCGAGCAATGGAGCTCACAATCAGAGCCTGGAGGGTGAGTGCAAATTTGAGGTCATGGTGAGTTCAGGCCAACCAGGACTTCATGCTGAGAAGTCTGCATACTTCACACTGCCTCAAACAAAATGCACAGCACCATAATCTGAGGCGATGCTACACACGGGACCTTGTCAAAGCGAGGAGGGCAGAGGCACTCCGAGAGTTCTAGGTAGCTAACTCTGTGCCATGCATTGATAAAACCATTTACACTTCCACAAGACTGAAAACCAAGTCTTGTCATGTGGTCCAAGCTAGTCCCAAACTTAGGGTCTCAAGCAATCCTCTGGCTTCAACTTCTGAGTAGCTGGGGATTATGGAGGGATGACTATGTCCTGACACTGCATTTAATCAACACTTTCGGATGGGTACCTACCTACCTGGTATTGCTACCAAAATTTGTACAGCTGAGGATAACTGATCCGTCAGAGCTATCTGTTGTTTGTATAAGACAGCTCATATTGGTATCAAACTTGTTACAGCACTAAGGATGACCTTGAACTCCCGATCATCCTCTCTCTATCTCCCCAGTGCTCGGGTTACAGGTGTATGTCTCCTACCCTACGTGCAGCAACCCTCAACCCCTAGTTGAGAGCAGCAGTCACAAGCGCCAGCTGATCTCATTTGACTGTACTCTAGAATGCTAGTTACATAAAAGCATCCTCTTGTGAATTCTTGACGTGGAAAATATGCACTCTCTTCATTTACCTTCAAGAGAGTCTACATTTTCCTAGGTCAAGACCCAAATGCCCGTGTGGTGAAAATTCGGTTAATAAATGACAGTAAGCATCAACGCCTGTGGAGGTCCCAGCCTGCGGATGCTGGGACCCAGCCTGGAAACCGTGATCCTCAGCTGACACGGCTGAAGCTGTAGACTACAAGACTCCAGCTCCGGCGACCCCTCAGCTCCTGCCGTGCCCCTTCCCCAGCCTTCCGGAACACTCTTGCCAGGCCCACATTTGTCCCCAAACCTTCATGCTTGGTTGCCCCTAATCCTTCATCTGTGAAATGGACCTTGTCATGAGACGCCTGGCACACTGTGATGGCTTCATAATGTAGTTGTTAGCATGCCAAGCTCTTCAGAGATTGTCTCATCTAATCCCCACAAGGACTTCACGAAGCAGGCGCTGCCACCACATTTTACAGGTTAAAACCAACCAGAAGGCTGGCAGTTACATTACTAACTCAAGAAGACACAGTGCGGGGAGGTCCTGGGAAAGGTCAGAGAGGGGGCTGCTTCAGAATGCCAGGGAACCAGGCCATATCCTATATCTTACCCTGAAAAGGAAATGAATTCTGACTCATGAACTCTAGGCTTGAACTTGGGACTTGTGTGGAAGATGACCTTGAACTTCTGATTCTCCTGGTATTACAGACCTGGACCCCCTACACCCAGTTTACACATTACAGGGTCAGAGCCCAGAGCTGTGCATGCCAGATAAGCACTCTGTCCACAGAACCATGTCCTCAACCCTAGTTTTGTTTTGTTGTTGCAGGGTTTGTTTTGTTCTGTTTTTGCTTTTTGAGACAGGGTCTCATGTGACCCAGGTCATCCTCCAACTCATGATACCTCTGCCTCCCTCTCTGGAGGGCAGGAATTACAAACCTGTGGCGCTGTACTCACTGGGATCTTGGGTGTTTCTTTGCTCATTAACCAGCAGCAAAACCCCCACTGTGTTTTTATGAAGCCAAGTCAGTAAGAAACAGGGCTTCTTGATTAGGTGCCAGAGACTGTGGATCCAGTATGGTCAGTTTGGGTAAATGGGGTATGCTGGATAATTTTATATCAACCAGACACAGGCTAGAATCGTTTGAGAGGAGGGAACCCCAACTCCCTAAGCTTTGACTGTATGCAAGCCTGTAGGACATTTCCTTAATTAGCGATTGGTGGGGGAGGATCCAGTCCACTATCTGTGGAACTATCACTAAGCTGGGGTCCTGGGTCTTATAAGGGAGCAGGCAGAGCAAGCCAGGGGAGCAAGCCAGTCAGCAGCACCCCTCTACAGCCGCTGCATCAGCTCCTGCCTCCAGGTTCCTGCCCTATTTTGAGTTCCCATCTTGATTTTGATGAGGAACTGTGATGTGGAAGCATAAACCAAATAAACTCTTTCTTCCCCAACTTGCTTTTGGTCACTGCGTTTATCACTGCAATAGTAACCTAGGTTAGCTGGTTAGCTAAGACGTGCGGGTACTTGCCCCTCTGCATTCCCAGGACGAGGCAGGGCTGTCTCTGAGGGCATCAGCAACTTGATCCGGCCACCTGCCTTTCTGACTTCAAGCGACCTACTAGATCAGTACCATCTCGCTGGACAACAGGTTTAGAGTAGTCGAATGTACAAGCACCTATGTGGGCCGCTAAGACGGCTCAGTGGGTGAAGGTGATTGTCCTCAAGCTTGATGACCTGTGTTTGATCCCCCGAGCCTGCTTGGTGGAAGGAGAAAACTACAAGTCTCCCACGAGTGTCTCTGACACCGTGTTAAACATATGTCTCACTGCCCCCCACATAAAGAAAGATCAAAAGCAGGACGGATATCCAGTACCTGGGAGGCAGAGACAGGAAAATCATTAATTACAAGTTTGAAGACAGCCTGGGCTACATAGTGAATTCTAAACCAGTTTGGGCTATACAGCAAAACACTGTCTCAAAAAAACAAACAACAAAATCCCCAGGAGAGGGCTGTCAATATGGCTCAGTAGATAAAGGTGCTTGCCACCAAGCCTGGTGACCTGAGTTTAATCCTCAAGACCCACATGGTTGGGGAAGAGGTGTGACTTCCACGTGTTTGCTATGTCATCTGTACATATAACAGATAAGTGTATCCAGGTGTGGCAGTACATGGCTTTCGTCCCAATACAATAATCCTGAAAATCCCAGTAGGTGTATGTAGGAGTTCCAGGCCAGCCAGTGCCAAATATTAAGACACTGTTCTCAAAAAAGAAAACCAAAACAAACAAGTACTAAATAAATAAACTAAAGAGGGGGAACGAGAAGGAGGGAGGGAAAGAGAAAAGAAGGGGGAGGAGAGAGAAGAGTGGCAGATTCTGCTAGGGTCAATGGAGAGAGGATGGGTGACCAGGAGGGCTAGAGCAGCCATGTCTCCCCTAAGGGATAAAAGCTGTTCCTGCCTAAGCCAGCTGCTGCTGACACCTGACTTCTCAGACAACAGCAGTAAAGCAGGTTTTCTGATTTATAAATATCAAAAGCTGCTATAGTTTGACTATTAAAGGTCAAGGCCCATGTGTTAAAGGCTAAATCCTCAGCTTGATGTGGATGGAGTCAGTAGAAACTTTTAGGAGGTGGGGTCTGGGGGGAGGCCTTCTGGCCACTCAGGGAGTCCCCTTGAGGGTAAACCTGTCTTACTGGCCCCAGCTTGGTTTGGAAACACTGCTTCACTTTGTAGGCCAGGGTGGCCGAGAATTCACTACAGCCCAGACTGTCCCTAGACTTGTATCTTCCTGACTCTACCTCCCAAGTACTGCGATTACCGGCGCTAGTCCCCCCAAAAAGCTCATTCCTCTTCCTCTTTGGCCTGCAGCTTCCTCTACCTTGCTGTTCCCACCATGATGTGCTAGGTCACCAGAGGCCCCCAAAACAATGCCATCAGCTGAATAGACTGAGCCTTCTGATGCCATAAGCCCAAATAAACCTTTTTTTCTTTCAAAGCACAGCATCAACAAAAAAAAAAAAAAACACTTTGTTACAGTGACAGAAAGCTAAATCATTTTCACAAAAGCAACCAGGAGAGAGGGGAGGCCTGAAGGAATAGGCTGTGCCTGGCCTGTGCTTTGGCCGGGGCTGGCTATAAGGTGTGTGCATTTTATGGACATTTCACAGAGCCACGGGAGTGCAATTTGAGCCTTTCCTCTCAATAATAAGGGAGGAGAGACAGAGACACAGACAAGGTGAGAACAGGAGGCTGGCTACAGTGTGGCCCCATGCACACCCTGGTGGATGGGACACAAGTTACTTCTGAGGATGGATGCTAAGGCTGTCACGAGAGGGTGGAGCCCAGGTTCCTACGATGAGCATGAACCGCTCAGAAATCCATTCTGCAGTTTCCCAGGAGCAAAGCAAAATGGAATGAAGAATGGAAAATACACTGGTGGGTCTGGTGTGGGATACCCCCAAATCTTCCTGGGTTCGTAGGGTTGCTGGGATCCTCTCCTGTGAGACTGCCTCTGGGTGAGGAGAGGGTGTCATTTTTATGCGTCTGTTTTGTTTCTTGGCTAGGTGTGCCAGGGAAAGAAACGTCTCCTCTGAAGAGCTCCTCCTTGGCACAGAGGCCTGGCAGTCTTGCCCAGCCCTCCTACCCTTTGCCTGGAATGTGAACAAACCTGCTAGAGAAACAAAAGCCCAGCTTAGGAGTTCCCGAGGCCAGGGCAGGGGGACGGCTGTACTGGGGCTCACCGTGCATGTCCACCATCCCTGGGGAGGAGCTGTTCTCTGGGGTGGTCACTTCTGAGCCACACTTCTCGTCCTTGCCTTTCTTCTTATTCTTGCTTTTCTAGAGAGGAAAATGGAACGGAAACCCAGTCAGTCATGTCTGTGTGTGTGTGTGTGTGTGTGTGTGTGTGTGTGTGTGTGTGTGTGTGAGCTCTGGGGAGTGGAATGAATATTTAATCCCGTCAAACAGTCAGAGCCCCCAAGCCTTGGCAGGTTGTCTTTGCCTGCATCTCAGTGTGACCCACAAAGTGGACCTTGCCACCTTGGGATCAAACAGTCTCACCGAGGGGAGGATTCCAAGACGTAATCTTGCCCGTCTGTGGGGTTGTTACCTGCAGACAGACAAGCACCCTGGCTGCTGGGAACTCCCTCTTCTTCTAGATAGAGAAATTAGGGGAAAGGTCACTGTCACAGTCACTGCTGACCAGAGCGGGTTCAGCCGTGGCAGTCACAGGCCACTCATTTCCAGCAGCTTGAGCCCCTCGGGGCTGCTTTTCTCAAAGTATCAGGGAGAATGGAAACTCAAAGAAGCAGTGGGGAATAGAAGGGGTGCTTTTAGGGTGCTGGGATCAAACCTAGGGCCTCACACATACTGGGCTAGTGCTCTGCGGTGAGCCCCAGCCCAGCCCCCACGGGAACAGAATCGTGTTGGTTTCTCTAAGTGATGGTAAAAAAAAAAAAAAAAAAAAAAAAAAAAGGCTCCAAAAATAAATCATGGATGGTCTGATTGTTCGATATAACAATTAAAGAGACTAAGGCAGCTCTCTTTGGATTTTAATCAGAAAGCTCTGCGAGGCATGAACATGTTAAAATACCTCCATATCTCCAAGACAAAGAGGAGCAGAGCATACGGCTGCCAGCGCGGTGGGGGGTGTTGAGGGGACTGCGTCTATTGTGCACTCGTGAGGATAGGTACCCCGGAAGGGAAAAGGCAAGCAGGGTGCGCTGGTACCTGCGGGGAGGTGAACTCAAGCTGGGGTGCATGCATACAGAGATAAGAGAGATGCTGCAGCATTCATATCTAAACATGGAGAGGCGGCCCAGCTACCAAGAACACTGGCTGTTCCTGCAGAGGAGCTGGGTTCAGTTCCCAGCATCCATGGAGTGGCTCACGACCATCTGCAACTCTAGTTCTAAGAGATCCGATGCCCTCTCCTGGCCTCTGGGGGAAACAGAACTGCATGCACGGGGTGAACATACATACACGCAGAGAAAACACTCATGCATATGAGAAATCAGTCATTTCCTTTTAAGGTACTTAAAGAAGGTACAAATACACAGAGGCAGAGCGCGCATACGCAGCAGCACGAGGAGTGCCTGCTAACGGGCACTGACGAAAATGGTATAGAATTACTCATTTTTAAATTACATTTATTTTACTTGTATGTGGAGGCACAGTGCATATGTGAAGGTCAGAGGAAACTTTTAGGAGTCAATTCTCTTATTCTACCACGTGGGCTCCAGGTATCAAACTCAGGTTATCAGGCTTGGTGGCAAATGCCTTTACTACTGAGCCATTGTAGGCACCCTAAACCTAGCATCCTGTGGTTTAAAGAACACAGCATCATACATGCTAGGCAAACATTCTACCACTGGGCTACACCCTCAAAGCAAAATCCACTCTCTCAGAGAGCATACTCCATCCCATAATAGCCTGGCAGAGGCAGGAGGGTGAATTTAAGACCAGCCTGGGCTATACTGCAAGACCCTATCTCAAAAAATACAAAATAATGGCCAGGCATGGTGGTGCTCACCTTTAATCCCAGCACTGGGGAGGTAGAGGCAGATGCATCTCTATGAGTTTGAGTCCAGCCTGGTCTACAAAGCGAGTCCAGCCAAAGCTCTGCTATACAGAGAAATCCCATGTCTCAAAAAAAACCAAAACAAATACACACACACACACACACACACACACCTAATCCCATAACAGGAACAGGTGAGATGGCTCAGCAATAAAGGCAACAAGCCTGAAGACCTAAGTGGCATCCCTGGAGCCCACATCCATGCACGTACACACACACACACACACACACAAATAAAAAGAAAGCAACATTTGAACTTTGACACCTGTTTTGCCTATTTGAAAAGGATGAAACCTTCAAGAATACTAATGTTCATTTTTTTTTTTAATGGTACAGTTGTATCCTAATTAAATATGTTCTAAAACCATAAAAAGCCGACCCCCCCCTCTCCCACCCCCACGCAGAGTCTTAGTCTGACCTCCCGATAGTCTAAGGAGGCTGTCTGGGGCGGTGCCCGGAGGTGGAAGGAGCTCAGCATCCCTGGAACACTGTGCTCTGCTAAGTATTCTCCAGGCGACATAGTGCGAATTCTGGGCACAAAAGCCACACGAGCTAGATGGCTCCTCTACGCAGGGAGGGAGCAAGAAGCCCCACAGCAAGGGGAAGCCCCCAGCCTCGTGGGCTAGCAGAGGCTCGTCTGTCTGAGTCTATCTATACCCAGTGCTCGTTGCCCAGCCAGGAGCCGCCCCATCCTTCCCGCAGCCCATATGATCCCCTTGATCATATTCCATTTGGCACTTCCCTGATGTCTGTTTCATGCGATTCTATAATTATCTTCCCCCAACGAGATTAGAAATTCCTTGAGAGCAGGGGACCAAGTCTCCTCAGATGCAGCCAGCATTTCTACACCACCTAATGACGTGTTAAGGCCAAGGCGTGGGCCGGAGCCAGGAGCTGCCTCTGAGGCCTTGAGCCGCTCTGCTCTTTGTCCGGTTACATGCGGATGGGCCAAGCCTTGGTCCCTTTATGGTAAGAGGGGACTTGGCGGCTTCAGAAGCACAGGTCAAAACAAGGCAGGAGGCCAGTCACCTAAGTTCTCAGCCTTCTCAGGGTGAGCGTGTGATCTCAGCCCTGCCTAGAGCCCCTACATGCTCAGGGGGCACGTTACTGAAGATGGGGCAGAAAGAGAGGCTAGTCCCTTGAAAGAGACACTAAGACTGTCTTTCCCGAGAAAGCTGCTGCCCCATAACAAAACTTACTGACCGCGGCCATGTTGCTCCCGGAAGCAGCTGGGGCCAAACTCGCCTCTTCAGGCCAGCTGTGGGTAACCTGGGCAGAGCCAGCAGGTAGAGGACCAGCAGTGCCAAGGCCTTTAGGTGGGAAGTGGTTGGATGCTTCTATATCACCCTTCTCCAGCGCAGCGGCATGGTCACCACAGCCCTCTCCAGCCATTGCAGTCGCATGGCCCCACCTGTCTCCCTTAACCTTCCTACAGCCCCTCTCGCGAGTGGTACAGGCATCCTCATACCAGGCTCTCCCCCCACCCCCATCCCCCACCCCCCCCTACCTTGCCCATTAAACGGCTCTCCAGGAGCAGAGAACACATGTATCTCGAAAATTAGAAAGCCTTGGGTGGCCCCAGTCTCAACTCTGACAGCTGCATGACTTGGAGAAGTGGCCTGTACCTCTCAGAGATCATGTCTTCCCCTTGTAAAGAGATTTAAAAAGATAGGGAGCAGGTGGGTGTTTGTGTGGAGCATGAGCATGGGGCCTGGCAGATGGACAGCGGCCCAGGAACGGAGCCACAGTGAAGGCGGAGGCCTGGTATAACTGGGTACCGCACTGCCTGTTCCCACGCTGTAGTGCGCAGGGCTCTAGGGAAAGCAAGCCCCATATAAAAAGTGTGTCTCCACTGTCCAGCTATGGGGCTCCTAAAACAGTGGACAGCTTTCAAGGGGCATTCCTCATATCAGCTCAGGTTCTGGGGCAGGACCACGGGGCGCCAAGGAACCGGTCCAGTAGCCTTTCCGGGCCTTAGCTGGGCTCTGTGCCTTCCAAGCAGTTTCCCTTACATCCCCAGGCCAATGGACGGCAACAGACCTCTTCTGCCCGAAGCGGGGAGGCCACCCGGGGCAGGAGGGAAGGATGACACATCAGCCCTACATACTCACGTCATCAACTTTCGGCTCCGTCACAGGGACCCACTTGTAGATTCGTAGAGATGTGTCACCAACGGTCACCCATTTCTTCTCCCTGCAGGGAATGAGGAAGAGCCCATAACCAGGGGGCTTTGTAGAGGACTCTGCTTACAAGGGTGGGGGTGGGGAGAATGGGTGGTGGCAGCGGCAGAGGTCACAGCTACAAAAGGATGACTGGTTGTAGCCCTGGGGCCACAAGCTTTGATCGCGCAGATACGGCTGGAATCCCAGATCTGTCCTTGATGGCTGTGGCCCCTGGGAAAGTCACCTGACCAATGCAAGCCTCACGTTGTCTACCCTTTTGGAATAAAGAATGCAAGAAACCACCCTACCCTCCTGGCACCTTCCCTTCAGAACACTGCAGGGGCATATGGGCTGTGGTGGGCACTGAGGGGCAGGCTGAGCCTGGCCTTGTGGGGACGGGTCCTTGCACCTATCCTTCAGTTGAGGCTCCACCTGGATCCCCGATCACCTGGGTTTAAATCTCCCACAGGAGAGTCCAAGTCCCCAGCTGAAAGAGACAGGTTTGCAGATGAGGAGGAGAAAAATTACGAGCCATGAGAAGGAAAAGAGGAGACTGGTTTCATCAAGAATAATAATTATGCCCTCTCCAAGCCACCGCCATTTTCCAGACTATTACTATGGCCACTAACTTCTGTTAGAGGGTGTCATTTCTTGCTCTAAATATTTAGAGGCCATGTACATGGGTGAGGGTGGGCACAACTTGGGGAGAGGCACTGGAGGCAGGGCTGGGGTTTGAACCCCAGCAGTCTGGGCTCTGATTTGGCTATCTTAGGGAACAGTCTGACTTCCCACTGAGTTCAGCAAGTAACCCACAATGAGGTGAGATGTTGGGGCCAGAGGAGGTGGCAAGGCTGCAATTTCAATGACAACAGACCCACTGCTACCTAGAACTACAGTTGTGAGGACCTTGGCTTTTTTACCCAAACTTAAACTATGGTCTTCCCCTCATATTATAGTGTGACACATTACAGTCACTGCCATGTCATTATTGAGGCTGTTTTTTGGGTGTGTGTGTGTGACAAGTACACTCAAAAACAGCTAACTAAATCATACACCTGCATTCACAAACTCGGCCCCCTCAGGGCTCCGTGTTCCCATCAGTGACGGCCTGGCTCACACTGTTAGAGGAGACCTTGTCTAGCTGCTTCCACGTGCTGAGCACTACCGCCCACATACTCTGATGTTTACATGACCGTGTGTGACAGCAAGTGCCATCATCCCCACCTGACAGGTCACGGAAGTGAGACCTGAGGAGGCGAACTCATGACCTCGTAGTGAGAATCCAAACCCTTGGCTCCAACTGCTTCCCAGAGCACCTGTCAGGCCCCGCCCACACTCCTTTGAGCAGCAGAAAACATGAAGTGAAGGCAGAGGTCTGTCCGCCGTCAGAGGCAGGATGCACAAGCCACAGGCCCACTGGGAATACTCAGAAGGTACCTGAAGGGAACAACCTCAGTGACAAGCCGAGACACATCCTGATGGACACCTTGTACCAGGGACCAAGCTACATGCCGTCCCTCCTCTCTCTTTCTCTGAGGATAGTAAAAGGCCAGGAGAGGAACACATCTTATAGATGAGAGAACAAGCGATCCAGAAACTGTTGCCATCCTGGTCATGCAGACACAGATGATCCATGGTAACACAGAGTGAATTTAGGTTTTGACACCAGAGTCCACCTTCTACTATTCTGCTGTCCATGGTAAGGGACAGTCCTTTCTGTAGAACCAGGGCGACAGAAACCTCTAGAATCTAAAAGTCGCTCAGTCGATCCTCACAAGCTCTTGACTAGCTTCCTCGGTCTGAGTGCAAGTAAATCAACCAGTTCAAAGCCGGAGTGTGTTTATCCATCTGTCTGAAGTGATCAGGTGTTAGGGGCCACCCGCTGCACCTTGGTTCCTTCTTCCCCACTGATGACCTCTTCACTGAGTACCCGGGTCACCCCTGGGTAGAGAAAACGTTCTGTAGCACTATTATTAGGTGTGGACACTGAGGGGGCTTTGTGACAGAGGCAGGAGCTATGAACCTGACCGTGGGCAGCTGGGCAGGATGGCGTGTAGTTTTTGCTAGTTCTAGGTCCCAGGTGGCTCTAAGCGACACCGTGATGATGATGATGATGACCTGAGTTAGAGCCTCAGAAATAACATGATAGAAAGAGACAGCCCACTCCCACAAGCTGTCTTCTGACCACCGCAAGTGTGACAGGCACTCGTGAGTGCTCTCTCTCTCTCTCTCTCCTTCCCTTCCTCTCTCGTGTGCGCACACACAAAATAAACAGCAACAACAAAAAAGTAAAAAACATTTCTGAAAACTGAAGTGGAACCTGACCTTGGGATTGACCCCTGACCTGGGACTTGGCTCTTGGCCTCCCAGGAAGCGAGGCAGAGCTCTCAGAGAGGCTCTGGCTCAAGGGGAGTTGAGAGATCCCCTGCAACAAGTGCCCACGGGGGAACTTACACAGCTGGCGGCCCCCTTGCGGGAACTAGACAGTTCCCATTGTCTTACAGCAAGGGGACCATCGGGTGGCCAAGGAGGCATATCACGTTTACCTTCATAGTCCTTGTGGCCCACATGCCCCTGGGAGCCACAGCTTGCTCCAGATGACACACACTGGCTGACTCCCAGCACCCACATCTTATCACCCGGAGGCATTCACTTTGACCACCAAGTTGCACCTCAACCTAGCCACAAACTACTCTCTACAGAGCTGGCGTCCTCTTGCCTCCATGGCAACCAGCTTGGCTTCCATACCTCCTCTCCCTATCAGAATTGTGTTCCCGAGACAAATGGATGAAATGAAGTCCCAGATGTAGAAAAGAGATAGGGTTTCTCTGTGTAGCCTTGGCTGTCCTGGAACTCACTCTGTAGACCAGGCTGGCCTCGAACTTACTGAGATCCGCCTGCCTCTTCCCTCCCAAGTGCTGGGATTAGAGCCCTGCACCTTCACTGCCTGGTTCAGGGTCTGATGTGAACTACAAGGGTCTGTCTCAGATTCTCAAGGCCAAGGTAAATTTTCATTGCTCTACTGGATCTAAAGTCCAATGTTTCCCAGGGTGCTCTGCTGACTCCAAAGAGCTCTAAATGCCTTTTTGTATATTCATTACCCAACTAGTCTTTGCCACCTTGGAAGACCTGTCCTAATCCTAATAAGGTCTGGACGGAAAGCCCCCATAAACTAGCCACTCCGCCTTCATGTCAAGTTGCTAAAGGACCCTTAGGACCAAGAGCTGAAAGGTCCTGGACCAGTGTCTACCACGCAGCGCTGACCTCTCTGTCTTTCCCATTCTGGGCCTCCTGAGCCTGGCCCAGTTTCCCAAAACGGGACCCACCACTTTGATCTCCTTTGGCCATCTTCTGGCCACCTCACACCCAGCCAACATCTTGGCTGGGACACCAGACAGAAAGGAGGAGATAAGTAGCTGCGAGCTGTGGGTAGGGGGCCGCAGCTGGCACAGGCTTCTTCTGCAGGGCAGAGGAAGGGTAGGGCTGGCCAAGCAGGCATAAGAGATACCACCCTAGGCTTTCAGAGCGAGGATCTGGTCGTGTGTGTGTGTGTGTGTGTGTGTGTGTGTGTGCGCGCGTGCGCGTGCGCGCGCGCGCTGAGGACAAAACCCAGAGCCCTGTGCACATTAACCTCAAATTCTACCACCAAAGTAATACTCTCAGAAGAAAATGTCACTTCTTTTTTGCTTCTCTTTGTGACAAGCTCAAATCTAGCCTGGCTAGCCTTGAACTCCTGATTCCCCTGCTTCTACTTCACAAGTGCTGACATGTACCATCATACCCGGGGAGAACAGGTTTTTTTTTTGTTTGTTTGTTTTGTTTTTTTAAATCACTTTGCTATTTATCTGAAACTCAAATTTAGCTAGGTGTTCTGTATTTTCATTTGCTAATTCTGGCAACCCCAAGTCTCAGGCAGTGGTGAAATGCATGGTTGGTGGCCACAGTTAATAAACAACCCCCAAAGCCTTCAGGGTTGATTGCAAGACTGCTCTACAGACAGGGCAAAACCAGCTTCAGCGACTCAAGGAAGACCCCTCCATTTCTGTTTAAGATGGGGAGGCAAGCGAATCAAAATTTCCACAAAGTTCACCCTCCATAGGGGCCCTGTGCACCCTGGTGCCTACACCGGACTCAGTCCTCAGCAGTTCCAGGAGGGAGGGAGCATCGAAGCCCCCCGGTGGCCAGGGTTAGAGAACTGAGTTTCCTATTCTGCCCAAGGTCACGGGCAAGGAAGTGAAGTACAGACTCAGGTAGGAGATCCCGAAGCCTGAGGTACTTAGAGGTCATGATGTACTTGTTCACCCCCAGACACAGGGAAGAACCTAGCTACATCTCCTGTTGCCGTCCCAGGCTGGGCAGGCCGTGAACCCACCAGGTTGGATGAAGAAGCCTCCAGGCCTCACGCTCTGGGGCCCGCGGGGTGGAAAGCCCCATCTCTCCATCTGCCCGCCCTGCAGAGCAGCTGGCAGACCCAGCCGCAGCTGTCACAGCTCCAGGACCAGAAAGGCAGCTTACACGGCCTCTTTCTACCCTCCAGGCGGGTGACAGACAGAAGGTACTCTTGCCCTGATATCAGTTCTTTCTTCGCATGGGGATTGAGGCATGGGGGGGGGGGGGGGGCACTGCAGCCTTCCCTTGAGAGTCCCGCAGGAGAGGGGGCACTGTGTTGTTTTCCTCTGTGTTTTGGCCTGCAGCTGTTTCTGCCATTTTTAAATGGCTCCAGTTGGGCACTGGGCGCCCTGCTCAGCAGGGGAGCTCCCGGCACCCAGGACTTGGATCTCAACTTTGGAAAGCCTCCCCTTCTCACGGTTGTGAAAATTCTTTGTCCCATTGGAGCCAAACCCAGCCCACGGCGGGCATCCGGCCATCCGCAGAAAGCCCTTTCCATAGGAGGCCCGGGAGCACGTGGACTTTATTGATTTTCCTCCTTGCCTTTTTTGTTGGGTTTCACTCTGAAAGGACAGCTAACTTGTGACACCACCAGACCAGAAACAGGCCACCCCCAATAGTAATAAGAAAAGAAAAAAAAAAACAACAACAACAACAACAGAGGCGTTACTCAAGAAATGACACCCCCAAAAGAAACAGCCTGCAATGGGGCCTGGCCAGTTCCTATAAAGGGACAGGACCAGCCCGTGGCCGCTGACACTTGGGGACACCCTCGCAGCTGTTCCTCTCCTTTTCGGACCCTGATGAAGCCGTGGGAAAAAAAAAAAAAAAAAAAAAACCGTAATAAAGTTGAAATCAGAGAGCAGGGAGTTTTCAACAAGTCTGACCCAACCTGGTGATGGACTACCAGCGCCTCGGGCCTGGCCTCTGGGGCCGCCTCGGGAGTCAGATCCCGACGAGGGCCGTGAAAATGTTCCATCCTCCTAATTATAACGAGGCCACGCCGGGCACGATCTAATTTGAGCTTGAAAAACACGCACGGCCCACACCGAATCTCGCGGTCCCCTCCTCCTCCCCTAGCGCAGAGAACAAAAACAACGGTCGCTCGCTCTCTCCGCAAAACAAACACCAGCTCCAGCTAGGAGAAGGCAGACGCGGCCCAGGACTTGGCTTCTGGCTGCAAACATCGCGCCCCTCGACCTCCGGGCGTCGCGCGGGGCGGGTGGGAGCCGTGGGTGCCCCGCGCCCGGGCCGCGCCACCGCCTTCCCAGCGCTCGCCCCCATCTTCCTTCCTCGCCCGGAGCCCTCGCTCCAGGCTGCCCAAAGCGCTAAATTTAAACGGCTCGCGCTCTGCAAACTCCGCAGACTCGAGGGCGCCGAGGCCTGGGAGGCGGGGAGCTGCGGGCGGGTCGGGGCGTGGGGTGTGTGTGCCGGGGGGGACCCGGGCGCCGCGCCGCCCCGGGAGGAGACGGCGGCCCGCTCCGCGCTGCACAATGGAGCTCGCGCTCTGCCCGCCGCCGCCAGCGGCGGCATCGCGGCCCCGGCGCGCGGGAAGCCGCTTTCATGTGACTTGCACAAAAAAAAAAAAAAAAAAAATACACACACACGAAATGGCTTCTGGGGCCGGCTGCGAACCCCCCTCTCCCGAAAGCCGAGCTCCGAGCCGCCGCCGCCGCCGCCGCCGCCGCGCCAGGTGGGCGACCGGCGCCGAGCACACCTGGGCACGGACGCAGCCCCCGCGGGGCGCAGGTGACCCGGGCCGCGCGCCCTCGCCAACTCCGGGCCCGGGGCCGCTGCGCCCCGCCGCTCCGCGCGCTGGGTCCGGGCTTGCTGGCGGCCGCGGCGCGGTGCAGCGAGCCGGGCGAGCGAGCGAGCAGGCGCCTCGGCTTACCATTTGCGCACTTTCTCGATAGCCGCCATGACCCTCTTGATATCATCTTTGGCCCGGCTCCTGGTCTCGGCTCGAACCGACCTGCCCGACATGGTTCTGGCGGGGAGGGAGAGAGAGGGGGGAGAGAGAGAGAGAGAGAGAGAGAGAGAGAGAGAGGCTGGGGGAGCGCGCCCGCCGGGTCCTGCTCGCCACGCTCGCCCGCTCTCTCACTCGCGCACAGACACACACTCACACACATACGCGCACACACAAAGCCTGGTGCCGCCGCGCGCCCGGGGCCCAGTGCGCAAGCGCCGGGCGGCAGCTGCACAGAGCGAGGGGGAGCGGCGCGGCCGCCGGCAGTGCGGCCTCCGGGCGCCGCCGCCCTCCCGGGGGAGCTTCGGGGGACCTCGCCCGGGGGAGCTAGCGGGGGCGACCCCGACCTCCAGACACGCGGGGCGGGCTCGCGTGCGGACCCCCCCGGAGGCCGCAGGTGCGGTGGAGGACCTCCTCCTCCCCCCAAAGACACACACCCTGGGGATGGCAGGCTGCAGGCCGTGGGCGCCCTGGCTCTGGTTGGTGGCCGCGGGCGCGATCGCGCAAGTTTCCTGTCGGGCGCTTGAGTTCTCGGAGTTGGAGGCGGAGGTTCGGGACGCGAGGTGATCTTGGAAAGAGTTGAGGCGCCGGTCTCTGACCAGCTGCCCTAGTGAAATGTGCGAGATAGGACGTCGCCTCCCCATGCTTCAGGGAGGGTCACAGGAAAGGTGTCAGAGCCCGGGGGGCAATGGGCACCGTCGCAGGGCTTCCTTGCCCCCTGGAGATAAGTTGCCCCGGTCACGGATAAACCTTCCTGGGGCTTATTCGAAGACCGCAATGAAATTTTAACCGGCTCCCAGTGGAAGTGCCACGCACTGACCGGGAGCAGCCGGCAAACTGGATCGGCCCAACCCAGAAGGACTTTTGGGACAGCTGGGTGACAGAATCTACCGCAGTCAACCAGAATAGGGACAGATGGGTGTGCAGCTGCGGCTAAGCAGACTGGACCAGAGCGGACGCCTGCCCAGGTGGATGCTGGGAAAAGAGATGGTCTAATGTGAGCAAGCACCGTGACTGGCGAGGAACTAGCCCAGCACCCGTCATTTCACAGATGGGGAAACTGAGTCAAGGTTGCAGCCCTGAACTTCATCTGTGACCCCCCCATTGATGCTAGTACAAAGCATCTCCCCCGAAGTTTGGGAGTGCTGCGGGGGGTTGGTAGAGGGAGCCAGTAGGAAACGAGAGTGAGACTCTATGGGATTTTCCCCAGACATATATCTTACTCCCATTTTAAACGCACGGTCCTAATGTGAAAGATAAAAATAAGACTAATAGTCGGGCACGGCGGCCCAATCTTTTAATTCCAGCACTCGGGAGGCAGAGGCAGGAAGATCTCTGAGTTCAAGGCCAGCTTGGTTTATGTAGATAGTTCTAGACTAGCCAGGACTACGTAGAAAGACCATCCCCAAACAAAAAATAAGAGCGATCAAGCTAGGTGGCAGTGGTGCACGCCTTTCATCCCAGCACTTGGGAGGCAGATGCAAGCCGATCTCTGTGAGTTCAAGGCCAGCCTGGTCTACAGAGCAAGTTTCAGGACAGCCAGGGCTACACAGAGAAACCCTGTCTTGAAAAACAAAAATAAATCAATTATGTCAGAAAACCATTCTGAGCAATGGATTGGAAAATGTGCCATAAATCAGAAGTCTGATTTTTTTTTTTTTTTTTTTTTGCCTCTCTGTATCTGACCATCAGATATGTGCTTGGGCCCAGGGAGTTAATTTTTGTTAGTGCAGGCATTGTGCATGCTAAGCAAGTGCTGTTCCGAAGTTCCCCCATGAAATATGTATGGGTACTTACATGTATGTATATATGTATATAATTTAAAAATAAAATATATCAAAAATCCACATATCTGGTCAGCAAGATGACTTAGTAAACGCATTTGCTGCCAAGCCTGAAGACCAGAGTTTGAGTCCCAGAGCCCATACTGTGGAGAAGAGCGAACTGACCCCTGAAAGTTGCCCTCTGATCACCGCATTTACACATACGCCTACACACACACTAAATAAAGTGTAAAAAATGTTAAAAACCCCAAATCCTAATTGATCGATGGCTGTCTTTTCAAACAGTGGGATTATTCACCCACAAATAACAAAAGGAATACCAATACGGCTAAACATGCTTGAAAGCGTGCTAAGCGGAAAGACACGGGCAGACAAGGACAAAGAGCGTATCTCCCCACTTACTTGAGCTGTCTACACTAGGCAGGAGCTAAGAGGAGGAGTGAATGATGGCTAACGGGCATGGGTTTTTCCCTGTAATAAAGCTTTCTGGTACTACAGAGGTGAATGCCCCGTGTCCATGAATTGTGCTTTGAGATGATTACAATGAGCCGGGCAGATGGATGGGTGGCTAAGCACTTGCCACAAAAGCACAGAGACTAGAGTTCAGCTCCCCAGAACTCACAGAAGTGCTGGTGGACACGGCAACTGGCCTGTAATTCCAGTCTTGAAAGGCAGAAACAGGAGACCGCCAGAACGAGCTGGCTAGTGAGACTCGCCATGCCGGCAAGTTCTGGGTTTGATTTAGTGAGCCTGCCTCAGGAAACAAGGCAGATAGAGGATGATACCCAGTATCAACTTCTGGCCTCCACATGCATGCACATCCATGTGCAGGCGCACCCACCCCAGGCATGTAAACGTGCATACACACATGCAAACCACACACACAGTCATGACAATGGAAGAGGGAGAACAGTGGTTATAGTGGTCAGTGTGTTGCTACATGAATTTGACTATTATAAAAAGAAACCCCAAATCGTTAGAACCAGCCAACATTCTGCCAGCTGGGCCCCCGGGCCACACAGCAGCCACTAGACCTGAGCAGCCCTTGCCCTTCAACTGCTCAGGTGACCACTTTGCTCACGCAGCCGCCTGGCTTCTGTTTGCTGTCTAGCCCCTGAAGGTATTGTGTTTCTGATCCCTGATTAAACCATAAAGCTTTCTACAAATGTTCTTTATAAATCTAGTATGTCATTTTTTATAGTCTCCTGTCCCTGCAGAAATTTTTAAGCTTCTTTCTTTCAGCAAAACTTGGTTGTTTTATAGTTTGTGTCTGACGACTCTAATGTTTCTGCTAGGCCTTGCCCACGGTGTCACATTTCCTTGTTACAAGCTGAGCTCTCCTTGACTAGGTCAGACACTGTATTATTTCTTCTTCTCCCTTCTTTCTCCCCCTATAACCCTCCTCTTCTGTCCCCTTCCCCGCTACAGTCTCATATAGCCCAGGCTAGTCCCAAACTCACTAAATAGCTGAGGCTGGCCTTGAACTCCTGACCCTTGCACCTTCTCCTATGCACTGGAATTGCAAGCATGAGCCACCACATCCAGTAGGGCTTAGATTTAACTTTCACTTCTCTTACCTCACAAAATCATTCAGTCAGGTTCAAATATGCCAAAGCTAGCTGGGGGGGGAGGAGGAGTTTTTGTGTTTGTTTTTGTTTTTTGAGATGGGGTTTCTCTGTGTAGCCTGGCTGTCCTGGACTCACTTTGTAGACCAGGCTGGCCTGGAACTCACAGAGACCCACCTGACTCTGCCTCCTTGAATGCTAGGATCACAGGCGTGCGCCACTGCACCTGGCTTTTTGGTTTGTTTGTTTGTTTGTTTGTTTGTTTGTTTGCTTGTTTTAGTGAAGTGCTGGATGAGTCTACAATTCTGCTCAAATGACTAAAGATCCTGCTATCATATATGTGTATATATATATGTTTATGTCTTCAATGTATATATTTCATATATTTTTAATTTGAATTCTTGGATAATTTTAGCTGTGATGCTAACTTTGGAAAAAAGTATCCCCATTTACCTATTGAGCTGCCATTACAGAAATGCATGACTATATTGGTATAGAAACATTTTTTTCCCATTCGTAACATTGTATTAAATATGTCAGGTCTTATCCATGTGGGCTCGATTATAGAAACTAATAGTTTCTAAATAAAAAAAAAAATGATAATAAAAATCCCGCAGAGTAGGAAGTCCACTTCCCTGCCCAAGTGCCGTTTACCATCTTCTCAGCTTCTGTCTACCTGACTCAGAGGTTCCGAACCTCCCCAATGCCTCGACCCTTTAATACAGTCATGTTGTGGCAATCCCCAACCATAAAATTATTTTTATTCTACTTTGTAACTGTAATTTTGCTACTGTTATGAACTGTAGTGTAAATGTCTGTTTTCTGATGTGACCCCTGTGAAAGGCTCATTCTACCCCCCAAAAGGGCCCACAGGTTAAGAACCGCTGAATGAACTGCTGTCTTGTCTTGTCTTTAAGATGTTTCCAAACACTTTAACTTTTTAATTATTTATTTAGAGGGAGAGACACACATCCTGCCTTTATCTGTGTTCTCAGGTTGTCAGGGTTGGTGGCAGGTGCCTTTACTTGCTGAGCCATCTTGCTGGCCCTAAAACACTTGTTTTTTTTTTTTTGTTTTTTTTTTTTTTTTTTCTTCTTTCTTTCTTTTTGGAAACAGGGACTTGCTATATAGCTCAGGCTGGCCTCAAACTTGTGGTCCTCCTGTCTTAGTCTCCTGAGTCCTGAGATAACACTTATGTTTCACCATGGCTTTTTTGAAGCTTTCAGTTTGAGGGTTAGTCTTTGTTTTTGTTTTTTTGAGACAGGGTTTCTCTGTGTAGCTTTGGCTGTCCTGGACTCGCTTTATAGACCAGGCTGGCCTTGAACTATCTGCCTGCCTCTGCCTCCCTGAGTGCTGGGATTACAGACATGTGCCACTGAGCCCAGCTAGGGTGAGTCTTACTATGGATAGGAAACTACGAGTCAAGATCTCCACAAATATCAACCTCCCAGACAGGTTAAGAATACAAGATGACGTCAGGATAACAGCAGCCACTGTCAAGCGTCTTCACAATTCTGAGCCTCATCTTTAAAATGAAGATACAGTTAAGGCTTCTCATCTCACAGGGTTCTTATGAGGATGAAACGCAGTTTTGTTTTGTTTCAGTGCTTGTGTGTACCAGAACGCATTTGCTAGATACAGGCCCCTCATGACGGCTGGCATCATCTCTCCACCCACGAGACCCAAGGTAAACTCTCCTCCTTCCTGGGTTGCTAAATTCAACCCTGAGTCCATGCCTTCTGTTAGGCATACCTCCAGGGTGGAGGATGGTTCACCTCAAAGGCATGGAGGAGGTTTCCATCTCTGGAACAGAGATGTGTAATT